GCGCCGTCGTATTTCATGGAGGTGCCCCAGTATCGCACGTGGGACGCGTGGTGCGCAGGTCTGCGCGCTCGGTTCGAGCCAATCGCGGCCTCGATCGCGGCGCGACAGAAGCTCCGCACTTGGCGCCAACTCGGTTCCGTCCAAGATTACACGAGCGGATTTGTGGCGCTATGCGAGCAGGTGGGATATATGCACGAGAGCGAGCGCATCGACCGCTACATCGGCGGCCTGAAGCAGGACATCGCTCAGGAAATCCAGCTTTGCGGCGTCACCGATTTTCAAGAAATTCTCGCTATGGCGGAGAAACTTGATTTCTTCCGCCGACCGAGACCGGGGTCCTACGGAAGCAGCCATTGGGGACATCGGCCTCGTGGGACGAACGAGGGCGCCACGATACGTGCCGTCACCGCAAATGCCGCTGCCGCACCATTCAAAGGGCGCTGCTTTGCGTGCAATCGGCCGGGACATCGCAAGAGCGAATGCCCGGAAAACGCTAAGGGAAAGGGGGATGTTGAGCAGCAGAAACAGACCAAGCAGCAGGGAAACGCTGGGAGTCAGTAGCAGACGGGCCCTCTACTGACAGGTCACGCCGCTCGCCCGACCCAACCGACCCTCACCGAGTGATTGTGCTGGTTCACGCAATCGACCACACTCGGCCGAATAAGGAGGGGACTACGGTAGACAGCCCCATACTACTTAGTGGGAAAATCGGGACGGACTTAGTTAAAATCTTCGTAGACGGGGGAGCCAGCCACAGCCTCATCAACACTGCTACAGCACGAAAACTGCGACTGCCACTAGACAGATGTTTACCTGAGATCGACGCAAGACTGGTAGACGGCACGCCGCTGGCAATACGGGAACGCGTAGACCGGGTTCGGATTCGATGTGGGGGTAACTTCACGTTTAGCCAGGAAATGCTTGCAACGACCCTCGACGGAACCGATATTTTACTCGGGCGTGATTGGCTGCGACGACACAATCCGCGAATCGACTGGACGACGGGTGACTGCACCGTGCGAGTGAACGGTAACAACATCGCCCTACCTCGCTGAGGCTCGCCTGAGTCTTCGTCGGTGCGTGTCAACGCGATCACGATGAAACGCGCCGTAGCGGCAGGAGCTGACGTGTACGCGGTCGACATTCGGGAAGCCGAGGCAGCAGACAAAGGAGGGGATCTACAGAAACTGCTGGCCGACGTACCGAGTGACCTGGCAGCACTGTTGAAGCAGTACAGCGACATTTTCCCGGATGGTTTACCGACGGGACTGCCACCTCAGCGACCACACGACCACAGGATAGAGTTAGAACCGGGGGCACAGCCAACAGTACAGCGACAGTTCCGACTGACCCAGCCCGAACTGGACGAACTGAGGAAGCAGCTCGATTACCTGTTCGAGAAGGAATTCATTCGCCCTAGTTCGTCGCCTTTCACAGCACCGATACTGTTCACGCCGAAAAAAGACGGGGGATTTCGCATGTGCATAGACTACAGAGCACTGAATAGGGTTACCATCAAATCCCGTTACCCCATCCCGCGAGCCGACGAACTGATCGACCAACTGCGCACAGCCCGGGTATTCTCGAAAATCGACCTCAGAGGGGGTTACCACCGAATTCGCGTCAACCCGCCCGACTGCCCTAAGACCGCATTCCGCACACGCTACGGATCCTTCGAGTACACCGTCATGCCTTTCGGACTGACCAACGCCCCCGCCACTTTTCAAATGACCATGAACGAAGCTTTCCGCCCGCTCTTAGATAAGTGCATCATAGTATACCTGGACGACATACTGATTTACAGCCCTGACAGAGCACAGCACTTACAGGACATCGAAGCAGTTTTTAAAATACTGAGTGAGAACCGCCTACTGACAAAAGCGTCTAAGTGTGAATTTTTACAGGACCACCTAGAGTTTTTGGGACACGTTATTTCAGCTGCAGGAGTGGAAATAGACCCGAAAAAAATCGCGACGATTCAAGCGTGGCACGCGCCGACCAACTTGACAGAGTTGCAGAGTTTTTTGGGGTTCATCAACTACGTGCGCCGGTTCGTCCCCGACATGGCGAAGCTGACTGCCCCGTTGACTGACCTGCTGAGGAAGGGGGTTGAGTACACGTGGGGGGAGAAAGAGCAAGCTGCCTTCTCGGCCCTCAAAAACATTTTGTGCTCACCGCCCGTGCTTCACATCGCAGATCCACACCGTCCGTTCGAGCTCGTCACTGACGCAAGTGACATCGCTGTGGGAGCAGTACTGTTGCAGGATTTCGGGAACAGCCTCCAGCCAATCGCGTACGAGTCCCGCAAGCTGCACGCGCCCGAACGCAACTACCCGATACACGACCGCGAAATGTTGGCGATCGTGCACGCGTTCAAAGTTTGGCGGTGTTACCTGACTGGCGATGACGTGACAGTACGGACAGACCACCGATCACTACAGATCCTACGCGCCAAACCAAATCTCAATCCGCGACAGATTCGCTGGTTGGACTACCTGGAGTCCAACTTCTACTACACGGTTACGTACAAGAAAGGCGCATCCAACATCGCCGACGCACTCACCCGCCCTACCTCCCATCTCCACGCCATCCTACTCGCCCAGACCAACCTGCTTTTAACAGGCCTATTCACCCACGGATACCGCACCGACCCATTTTTCACGACTGGAAACTCACAGCAACTGGCAGAAGCTAAAGGAGTTTATTACATAAAGACAGGCACCAACCGCATCTACCCGCGTACTCACTACTGAGGGAGCTGCTACTGCAGGAGGCACATGACGGAATTACCTCGGGACACTTTGGGGTAGAAAAAACGCGACAGCAACTGCAGCGGTATTACTACTGGCCGGAGCTGTTGACCGACGTACAGCAGCACGTGGGCTCGTGCCCCACGTGTCAGGTGATGAAAAGCTCGAGGAAGCGGAAGGCGGGTCAACTGCAGCCGATACCACCACCCGAGCGCGCCTGGCAGCAGGTTACCATGGACTTCGTCACAGGGTTAACTTCGAACCCTGGGGGTAACGACGCGGTGATGGTCGTCGTTGACAGGTTGACGAAGATGGCACACTTCGTTGCGTGCAAAAAGTCGATCTCAGCCGAGGAGACCGCTCGTCTGTTCATCGCAGCCGTTGTTCGCCTGCACGGAATACCAGCAGCGATTATCAGCGACAGGGACACGAAGTTTACCAGCAACTTCTGGAAAAATCTCTGGGAGCAGTTCGGGACCAGGCTACAGTTCAGTTCGTTGTACCACCCCGAGACCGACGGCCAAACGGAGCGGACGAATCAGACGATGGAGCAGTTGATTCGTGCCACGTGCGACGACCCCACGACTTGGGAGCAGCAGCTGCCGCTGATCGAGTTCGCGTACAATAATGCCACGTCAGCGACGACGCAGCAGTCCCCCTTCTACCTGAACTACGGGCAAAATCCTACAGTGCCCATGACGCCGAGTCCGGACAACTCAACACCACGTGCACAGCAATTCGCCGAAATTCTGCAAGCTGCCTGCACCAGAGCCGCGGAAGCAATTAAAAAAGCAAATGTCATCGCTAAGCGCAACGCTGACCGCCACCGCCGCCCAGTCACATACCAGTCAGGGGATTACGTACTGCTTGACACGCAAAATCTGCGACTGCCCGACGTACCAAAACTTCGACCGCGCTACTGTGGCCCATTCCAAATCAGCCACATGATCACGCCAGTAACCGCGCACCTACTGTTACCAACCGACTGGTACATCAGCCCTTCGTTCCACGTCAGCCTGCTTCGCCCATACATCCCAACCACAAGCCAACTGCCTCGCCACCGCCCGCCATCCATGACTCGCCCTGCATCGGAGCCGATCATCGCGCCCAAAAAAATCCTGAGCCATCGGATTCGCCACCCCACGGGAATCAAGAGGATTGAATTCCTCGTTCGCTGGAAGGATCGCACGCCAACTGAGGACAGCTGGGTGCCCCTGGCCAACATTGAAAACCACCCTGCCCTGCAAGTGTACCTGAGTAGCCGGGGCTTCCGCGATATACACGCACTCGCGTAGCGGAGGGGGCTTCTTGAGGGGGGGGGTAGTGTAAGGAATTTTCTCGATATTCCTTAGCGCACCCTGCAACATCGCGTACAGCAGCAGCCATTGTTCACCCGTTACTGCTAACGGGGCTTCGCCGACTTCGCGCGCACTGTTTCATCAAACCTCGCACTGCTGGCCTGGCCGCGTCGGCCTACGCTTCGGGACTAGCCCGAGCCTCGCTTCCAGCGTAGCACTAGCTAGCTCGCACGCACCGCGTTACCGTTTGCATGTTTCGCGTATAAATGTTCGCTCATGCCTTCGCTCACATCTTTGTACTCGTTTTGACACCTTAGTGCAATTCTCGCTACTTCGATTCATTGCACCCGTAACACTTGCCCATCCCAGACAGACCACTAATGAGCCAAGTTGGGTCTTAAAGCAGCAATTGCTGAATGACAACTTCACTCTATAACCAAGAATAAAGAATTTTGAGCCCTCGATTGATAAGAAATTGGATTCCCCGATTTGGCTTGTACCGGTACTTCTTTTTGCGTGTTGTTACAAGCAAGGTTGAGAAAACCATGTGGCGTTATTTTTTTCTTTGCAGTAGGCCTGGGCAACACGAAAGCCCACATATTTCATGATGTGATGGAACTTATGCCAGTAGCGTCTGGTTCAAAAAGTTTCATCAAAACTATTTATCGATAAACTCTATGCAGTTTACTGCTTGAGATTCAAATTGGATTTCTGACTGGTCTCTACAAGGTATATCACAAAATAAGGGCGTGTCTCCATTTTGCTGGATTTTGTGACTCCCCTTCCTACCGCTGCTCTTCCAGAGACTCAGGAGTCTCAGATCCAAGCACAAGGCGGGAACACCCAAACAACTCCTTCCGCCACACCCACTCCAGCTGACTGGTGGGTTTATCAGATCCCATCACCCAGTGCCTCGTATCACGCCGACGACGACTACGGTTTAGGCGCCGACATGGACAACGCCGCTACGATGGGCGAGGTAGAGGAGGAGCCTACGGAGCAAGAGGCGGCCCCGACTTCAGCCACCGCGACAACTTCACGCCGCTCTGCCGGGAGAACTCAGCCTCGCTGGACTCGCGAGGAAGAATGCGAGGTTCTCGCAGCGTTCATCACGAAGCAGGTCGAGATCCGCCGCCGCACGGGTCAGCAAGGCCGCAGCTGGTACCCGTTGATCCAGCAAGAGCTTCTGGAGCACAACCCCGACTGGCACCACGACATTGCCGTGCTCAAGGTGAAGTACAACCGGATGAAGGAGCAGTGGCGCCGCATCAACGACCGCCTCAAGCGCTCTGGGGCTGGACGCGCAACCGGGCTGCCTCCTTGGTACCACCTCGGCGACGCACTCTGGGGTGAGCGCCCGAGTACTGTCCCCCCTGTGCTAGCAGGCACCACGTCACTAATCGCACACCAGCACGGCGCACCACGCGTACGGATGTTGGACCGGTGACACCTGGCGAGGGAGCCAGTACCACGCCGCTCCATAGTCAACCACCCGGTTTGCGCTCATCTAACCCCTCGCCGCGTCCATCCAACCCTGCTCCAAACTCTGGCGCGAATATGACGCCCCCTGCCGCGACTGCGCCATCAAGCCCGCCTCCGCTCGCAACACTCGCTCCACTGGATGCGCCCACCACCAACACTGCCCCGCCTGCGCCACTCCCTGCTACTACGACTACTCCCGCTGCGGCATCCGAAGACGTCCCTGCACGCAACAACCCGGTAACTCCTTTGTCACCTGACACCATCTTGCAGGCAACGACTACAACCGCGCAGCCCGGTTCAGGTGCGACGACGGGTGTCTCTATCCGTAGTCGTCGCCTCATCTAGGGAGCGCGCGCGGCGCCTGATGGGATGGAGGGGTGCAGCCGGAATGCGTGGTACGAGTATCCGCGCCAGCAGTCAGACGGTGACAAGGGCGAGGGGAAAAAAGAGAGTAAGAAGGGTGTGGGCCGTAAGTCAGGCGGACGGCTCAAAACTACAAGCACGGCAAATCTCGTGCACGAACTTCGTGAGCACAACGACAACCGCGCAGATGAGAAGTGGCAGAAATTTGAAGCACTTACCAGGGAGGTGCTTCGCGAGTTCTCGGATGAGCGACGCAGTAGGAGGCGTAGATCGCCGCAGTCCACCTCCTCATCCGATCACGAGCGGTAAAACCGTGCACTTCCGCACCGGTAAGTCGGAGACGAGCGGCGGGGCCCTCTAGCCACCAACGGTTGCGCTCTTGGGGTGGGCCGAGCCGGTCCCTACTGCCTATAGTGAGTTCGATGTTGTGTAGCGTCACGCAGGCGCTCACAACCTGTGGGACCCTTTCACTATGGCACTCCATGCGTGCATCTAGAATCCTCCACTTCCCCTTGAGTCTACCGTTAACTTGTTCTACCACAATTCTCGCCCTTGACCGCTGTGTATTCCACTTATCATTGGCTCGTGGCAGAGCCCGTCCCGGAGTAGCCCGCCATGGCACGCAAGTGTAACTCTTCAAGGCGTATGTGGCATCACTGACCAGGAAGTAGTTCCCTAGCTGCCCGCCCTCCATGCATTCCTTCAATGGGGAGTTGTTGAAGACGCGGGCGTCGTTGACACTTCCCGGGTAGCCCGCATTGTAATCCCGTATTAGGCCGTTGCTGTTGCTGTTGTGGAGGACTCTCCTCTACTTTGCAGGAACTGGGATTTGTTCTAATCACTAGAGCTCTGTCTTTGATTTCCAACGAGCCATCAATCACTTCGTTCGCCTAAGAAACGAGTGAGCTATAGGTGGAAACGTGAAGACTATGCTCTAGGAATGAAGATTAGGAGCTCTCTGGATTTTGTAGTCGAGTGTATCACATACAAAGTGATTCTCGATTTCAGTATGATAGCATGCAATACAAAGAAAACAGATTTATAGCATGCAAGCAAGATCGAATCGCACAAGTAACCTCGAACCGCGGTACACTCGAATGTTGGAGTAACATTTCGAAGGGGTGAAATTCGACACTCGAATTTCACCGAACCGAATGTCACTTCAATCTCGAATGTTCCTGGTGGTGCCATGTGGCACCGAATCGAGTGGGTCTTCCGAAGTCAATCTGCAACTTCATGAAACCTGCAGTGTAGTCAAGTAGAAGCAACACATTCGGTGGGTTGGGGGCATATCAATCGCCCCACCACCACCTTGCTTCCAACACACTCAACCTCCAACAGTTGCATGCTATTTGTAGATGGATGCTGTAAAACCCTTTCCTGTTCTTGAAATCTTCCTTATCCCGCCCAAACCCCCTACACTCTATGAAGGTGCCATCCAATGCTCGATGCCTGGTATCCCAACCTCATACCTGAACTCTTCTGCAATTTCTGCAGATTGCTCAAGAGTAGGGTGTGTGACCCACATGGGCTCCAGCACTTCCACAATGAAAGAAAGCATTCCTTCAATAATACGGAAAGCATGCCGTGGAGCTACGCCGAATTGTAAGGCTACTTGACGATAGGTTGCTCCCGTGCCAAGGTATACCAAGATCATGGCAACGCATGTCTCGATTGGCACCACCCGTCGACGGCCACCATTCCTAGTCAGCCAGGCATCGAGTAGGTAGTTAAAGGCAGTACGGTTAACTCTGAAAGTGTCGACAAAGGTGTTTGAAGGCATTGACATTAGGAGCACGTCCCATCTAGCTCTCTAGTTCTCATGGTCGCGTCGCATAGTGTTTCATTCATCATCTTCTAAGAGTACTAAGACATCAGCTAAGTGAATCTGTCCAGGTCTGACTATAAATTCCTGGTACCCTCTGTACAGAAGGTGGAGCACAGAGAGTAGTAGGCGCTTGGACATTTTGCAATTTTCCCTTGATCTGCTCTGAGTTTCATAGGTAGGCTTTTGTGGTTCCTAGGTTCAATGTCGCGATGTTTGCGTCTTGTGTTTTTGTGTTCTGAGTCGAGTCGCAAGGAGGATGTGCGATTTCGGCGAGGTGGGGTTTCATCGGTTACGGGGGTATACCCTGCCTGACGATGCAACTGTTACGAATAGTGGTTATTGAAAACACTATTGTGCACTCCTCTCCGCAGCAATCGAAGCACGCACTACCGAGAATGAAGATGAAAGGGCGCAAATGACGCGAAGGGTCACACAGTTACTGTCAAACATATGTTTATATCATATTTGTGGGTAGGCTGTAGTGGGGTAGATTATGTGGGGTATAACCCCTTAGCATTTTCCCTTGTACTCAATTCTCTCGATAGTCCAACTCAACCATGCCTAGCTTCTAAGATGGTATCTAGAGCATAGGTCTTTAGGACCTAAGTTTAGGGCCCACCGTTCATCATTTTACCTCACCTACGGCTTGCCTGCCTTGCCTGCCTTGCCTGCCGCCCACGCGCGCCTCGGCTGCACGCGCGCGGCCACTTTTTTTTCCCGCGCGCGCCACTTAAATAGCCCGCGCGCAGCCCGTTTTCGGCCCCGCGCGCCACGTTAGCCGCCCGCGCCGCCTACTGCCGTCCCGCGCGCCGCTTAAATCGCCCGCGCCCAGCCGCTTAGGCCCCGCCCGCGCGGCCCGCTGCCGCACGCAGCCCGTAGCCGCGCGCAGCCTGTCGCCAAGCACAGGCAGCAGCCGCGCGCAGCCCATAGCCGCACGCAGCTCGTCGCCACGCGCAGCCAGCAACCGCTCGCAGCCCGGAGCCGTGCGTAGCAGCTGCAGCAGCGCGTGCCCTGCCTGCCTTGCGTAGGCGAGTGCCACTTAAGCAGCCGCCCCTGGAGCAGCCGCCCCTGGACCCTGAAGCAGCCGCCCCCGGACCCAGAGCAGCCGCCCCTGGCCCCTGCAGCAGCCGCCCCTGGTGCAGCCGCCCCTGGACCCAGAGCAGCCGCCCCTGGCTCCTACAGCAGCCGCCCCTGGTGCAGCCGCCCCTGGACCCTCAAGCAGCCGCCCCTGGCTCCTACAGCAGCCGCCCCTGGTGCAGCCGCCCCTGGACCCCGTGACGCCGCCCCTGGACCCTCGAGCAGCTGCCCCTCGACCCAGAGCAGCCGCCCCTGGCCCCTGCAGCAGCCGCCCCTGGTGCAGCCGCCCCTGGACCCAGAGCAGCCGCCCCTGGCTCCTACAGCAGCCGCCCCTGGTGCAGCCGCCCCTGGACCCAGAGCAGCCGCCCCTGGCTCCTACAGCAGCCGCCCCTGGTGCAGCCGCCCCTGGACCCAGAGCAGCCGCCCCTGGCTCCTACAGCAGCCGCTCCTGGTGCAGCCGCCCGCCGACGCCGGCCCTGCTCGCCCGGCGAGCGCCGGCCCTTCCCACCACTGGTGAGCACCTGCCTTGTTCGCACACTGCCGCGCCCTCAGCCTGCCTGCCTGCCTGCCTGCCTGCCTGCTTGCTCGCCTGCCTGCCTGCCTGCCTGTCTGCCTGCTTGCCTGCCTGCCTGCCGCGCCTGCCCTGCCCGTGCTGCTGCTGCTACAACTGCTACTGCTGCTACTGGCGGTGGCCAGATGCAGCTCCAGCGACGTCCACGTGAGTCCCTCACTCCCCAACAGCTTAGTGAGTGGTACGCTGGTTGGGGTTGTAGGGGTGGCCGCGCTACTACTGTTGCTACTGCTGTTACTGCTGCTACTGCTACTACTCCTGCTACTGCTGCTACTGGCGGTGGCCAGATGCAGCTCCAGCGACGTCCGCGCGAGTCTCTCACGCCCCAACAGCTTCATGAGTGGTACGCTCAGAGTCGAGGGACTCTGAGTACCGTTCGCTGCCCGTACATCATTCGCACAGGTGTTCGGACTGGTCAGCCTTGCGGGACGCCTGGTCACACAGAGTCCCGCTGCTTCGCCAGTCTGAGCGACGCTTGGCGTACAGAGTTTGGCGACGACGCTGAGCTCCCCGACTGGGTGGAGCTGCTTAGGCAGAGGGTAGATATCTTTGCTCTTGACTATGATGCTATTCTCACTGCAATGTATGCATTGCCTACTAGTGCTGACCGAGCCGGTTACCTGTGCGTACCGCCTGACCCAGGTATCGAGTCTGCTGCTCTAGGTGCTGGTGAGGCTGTTGCTCTAGGTGCTGGTGAGGCTGCTGCTCCAGGTGCTGGTGAGTCTGCTCTCTCTGGTACTGCGCCTGCTGAGGCCTTGTACACCTTCACACTTGACTCCGGTGCCTCTCGCTCCTTCTTTCGCGACAGCACCACCCTTACGCCGCTCAGTCGGCCGGTTGCAGTCTCCCTGGCAGACCCCTCTGGGGGTCCAGTCCGTGCGACCTCCACCACTGTCCTCCCTTGTCCTGCTGTCCCGTCCGGCACACTGTCGGGTCTTTACCTCCCCTCGTTCTCTACGAACTTGGTGGCGGGTTCTGCGCTCCAGGACGCGGGTGTTCACCAGTTCACCCCTGCCTACGAGCGTGTGACGCACTGCACGTGTGCTCAGACGGGTCGTCACCTGGCTACCTTCACTCGGCAGCCGGGGTCGGGCCTGTACACACTGACCACTGAGTCCCCTCAGGTAGCTGCGTCTGCGTCTGCGTCAGGTCAGTTGTCGGCCCCCTGCTCGTGTCGCGCCTTGTCGCACCAGACGGTCCTTTGGCACCACCGCCTTGGTCACCCCTCGGTGCAGCGCCTTCGCAGCATGCATCGCCGTGTCCTTGTCTCTGGTCTTCCACGGGTTCTCCCTCCCCTCCCACCCTCGCCTGCTCCTCCTTGTCTTCCCTGTGTCGAGGGGCGGCAGCGCGCCGCTCCTCACTCCTCCTCGTTCCCTCCCACAGAGGCTCCCTTGCAGACTCTCCACCTGGACGTGTGGGGCCCAGCCCGCGTCCGTGGACAGGGCCACGAGCGGTACTTCCTGCTGGTCGTCGACGACTACACGCGTTACACCACGGTCTTCCCCTTGCACACCAAGGGTGAGGTCCCTGATGTTTTGATCCCTTGGATCCGCGCTGCTCGTCTCCAACTCCGCGAGCGGTTCGGGACGGAGTTTCCCGTCCTGCGTCTGCACTCTGACAGAGGTGGGGAGTTTTCCTCCGACCTCTTGGCAGCCTTCTGTGCGGAGCACGGCATCCGCCAGACGTTCACGCTTCCGGCCTCTCCGCAACAAAATGGGGTTGCTGAGCGCCGCATTGGCTTAGTCATGGAGGTCGCTCGCACCTCCATGATCCATGCGGCTGCCCCCCATTTTCTGTGGCCGTTTGCGGTCCGGTATGCCGCGCATCAGCTCAACCTCTGGCCCCGTGTCTCCTTGCCGGAGACCTCGCCCACGCTGCTGTGGACGGGGAAGGTTGGCGATGCGACGCGTTTCCGGGTCTGGGGTGCTCGTGCCTTTGTTCGCGCGATACCACCGCGGGCAAGCTCTCCGCCCGCGCTGTTTCCTGTGTCTTCCTTGGCTTTGTCCCTGACGCGCCTGGTTGGCAGTTTTACCACCCCACCTCGCGCCGTGTCCTCCCCTCTCAGGACGTCACGTTCGACGAGTCGGTTCCCTTTTACCGTCTCTTCCCCTACCGCACTGCGCCTCTCCCCCC